CGGCCCGGGTGGCGGCGGCTGCGCTGGCGGCGGAGGGTGGTGGGGGCCGGGGCCCCGTGGGGTGGTAGGAGGCCGGCGTGGTGTGGCGGCAGTACATGTGGGACGGGTCGTCCTTCCAGGGAGAGTTGCAGTACTTGAACCGCTGGCGGTTGACCTGTTATTATTTTATTAAAATTCAGAGAGACATCAATTAGTACAGAAAAAGCACAAAGTCAAAGTGACGGCGAACTTGAACGCAACTTAGATTCTTACCGCCACGTGTACATTAATTGAAAAGATCAAGACACTCAAACCTAAGAAAGATAAATGAATACAACGAATACCTAGTGTGAACTCGACATGTTCCTTTTCGAACACCAATCGAACATCAAAATCAGCGCGGGAAGGGCCGCGAAAAATACAGAGAGTGAGAAAAAACAGTTCGGGTGTTCGCGGGGGTGGATGCAGGGAGGCAAGGAGCCTCTATCAAGCAGACATTGACTCGTTTTGCTGCTTTTAGATGCCGTGCGCTGATTTTGATGAAAGTGTTCGAAATAGAACAAGCTAGGGGGTTCGACGCGTTCGATCAGGAACGGTCTATAGAACAGGGGGTTCGACGTGTTCGATCTAGACCGGTCTATTATTAACTGTGTTTACCTGGTTGACGATCCCCTCGGTGATCTCCATGGGTTTGCCGCCGATCAGGTAGATGTCGGTGGGGCGGACGGACCAGGGCGTCTGCCCGATCTGCGGCGTTTTCCTGACTCCCGGGGAGAAGGCGCCGGCCACGCTGCTGTGGGCGTGCGTGTAGAGCGGGTACTGCACCCCGGAGGCCGAGCGCACCCAGGTGAGCGGGCTGTACTGGGACGTCCCGCCGCGCGGCTGCATGCTGCTAAACTGCTCCACCCGGTCGTGCACGATCGGCTTGGCCTGCGGCTTCCTCCGGCCCTCGCCCTCAGGCGTCTGGACGGCGACGGTAACCTGGGAAGACAGAGACACAGTCATCTGCGTTGTTTTGTTAGCATATTGAAATATTGAAGCATTCAGGACGTCCTTCCTTCTGACGTTGGTGCTGGGTTGGGAGTAGCCTGGAGTCTATCCTATTCTAGCTAGTTCACTGATCTGATAGCATCTAAATAAGCAGAAAATGAGTTTGCCCGAGTTTGCCGTAGCCATGACTACGACGATGAGTAGCATCCTGCAGTACCTGGACTGGCGGAGGGTGGCGCCCCATCATCTGTTTGACCTTCGTCTCTGCGCAGTCCTTCAGGGCGTCGTACAGCTCCTCCTTATCCACACCTTCCGGGGCGAGAATGTCCACGTACGCTTCCAGGGGCTTATTCTGTGGGGAGACAAGGCTTACATAGTGTTGGATGTTTAAATAGTGCAATACGACAGCAATTTTAGTTAATGCAAATGGTAGTACATTTCAGCCTCTGCGAAGCTGTATCATTTTAAAAGCTCAAACTGCATTCTGAGACTAATTTCATCGGGTTGGTAGAGCACAGGATACTTGGGTTTTCTTTTACACAACCGGTAAAGACTCTCACCTGCTGACGTTTCGATTCCCATCAGGCATCTTTCTCAGGCCCTCTGACTGCAGTACTGCTTCTCGCCGCTATGATGTAACCGTAACGGAGGGGGATGCAGTTTTTTTAGCCACGTTTGGGATTTGTTCTCGCCGCAAAAGCGCCACCTACATCGACTACATATTGAAGCAGCACTCCAGTCAGAAGCTCTGAGAAAAGTGTCTGATAGGAACCGTCGAGTGTATGTGTTTGATAGATTTTTTCTTTACCCTCTCGGAGTAGACAGGCACTGTGAGCGCGGCCCTGCGCTTGGACGGGTCCGGGTTGGTGGCGAAGAACAGCTTGGGCACCGGGGAGCGGCGGTGGTTCTCGTCCGAAAACGCCGGGGACCCAGGTCTGAAATAGTTCAAGAATCATGAGCACTCTGACAGTTTATACCAAATGTACTCTTTGAAATATGGTTGAAATGCTGTACATATGTTAGTCATCAAAGCATAGTTGAAGCAAGCGATTCAGATATTCAGATAAAGAATGTGATACCTGCGATTCCATTGAATGATGAGTAATATTTGCCTAAACAAATCTGTCACACACTCACACAAACACACACACACACACACACACACACACACACACACACACACACACACACACACACACACACACACACACACACACACACACACACACACACCTGTATTCTGTGTGGTGGCGGTGGGGTTGGAGACTAGGTCCAGGTGGATAACTGCAACAGAAAATATGAACAGAAATACGCATGAGTTTGAGGTTAGTCGCTCCCTATTTTCGATAATTCAGCCATCACCCCACCCCCCTCTCAACCAAATTTCGTCCAAACTTCGACCTTAACGTTTACCACGGCCACAACCATCCAGCGTGCAATACGAGATACAAGTGCGGTTTAACCACGTTCACAATAATCACCAATTAAGCATATCTTTCGGTGGCTGCATGGACAGTATCAAATTGGCCAGGTAGTATTGGCAGTATCCAAGGGCCACCCTCGGATGGATACAGCCTGGCCAATTTGATACTGTCTATGCAGCCACCGAAAGTACTGTTTGGCGATTAGTTCACGAAGCTCTACTATGTCCCCACCTGCCGCCTCCAGAGCACTGTGAGTACGGTTCCGCCTGGCCCACCAACTACGAGTTCAAAGTTTACGTACCTCGGCCACAGAGGTCTAGTACGAGACAAGAAAGCTTAATTTAACAGTACACGTGCATATGGCTACATGTACCTCAAGAATGCCCTCAAGTTGTGATCGCACGATGTATATAAAAGTTACCGGACCCTAACCGTGTTCACACAACCATGCAGCTCTATCTACGGTACCACAAGTCCCACCTGCCATGGCCGCCTCCTCCTGAGTACTGTGCGTACGGCTCCGGCTGTCCCACCAGCAGCTTGGGCGGCCGGGTGGCGGGGGACGGGCTGGCGGTTCGCCGCAGCCTGTTCACGGCGCCCGCCCCGCCGCCTCGCTCCGGCTTCCACGACTTCCAGGCGGTCCTCGGCACGCTCAGCTTCGGCTCGTTCAGCACCTTCTCCGTCGCCTTGTCCATCAACGACCAGTACAGGTTCTCCCGCTCGTTCCCCGTCAGCTTGTTGTAGTTCGGTTGACGCATCATCTCTCTCTGTGTCGCCTCACCCTTTCCGAGGAAACCCCTAAAATGTCCGATTCTTGTATAAGCTAGCCCGGCGCGCGGTGATTGGGGCCTGGTTTGGCGACCGGTGACGCCGGTCTGGTACCAGGCTAGATCCGACCCTTCGGAGTAGCTATCTGGACTCCTTCCTTCTAGCTGGAAAACGTCGGCCTCCCGAGTAACTGTTTAGACTCCTGCCCTGCAAATCCTGTCCTCCTCAACAGCTGCAGCCGAATGCTCCTTCCTTTTGGGACTGGTCGAATAATACTTCGCGTAGTATTTATTCGTATTTGTCTTCCTCCTAGAGCAGTCGGCTCTCTTTTTTTCGCACGATGCTGGCCCAAACGGAGAAGAAGAATTGCTCCTTCCGTAGGCGCTATCTGCTGCAAATCCCTGACAAAACGCCTTGTGGTTGTAGAGGGAAGAGCGCTCTGCAGTTTAGCTGCATAAGAGAGAGAACAACAGCAATTATTAAAAAGGTAACAATAGCTGCTTGGCTCTGTGTAAAGCCTCAGTCACATATATCGCACGATGCATCTACAATGTGTTTTTTTGTGACAACTGTGCCGTATACCGTAGCTTTGATAACAATCGGGTGCGGCAGTCGTATGAATTATAACAAACGGTGATACCACCGCTGAAAAAAAAACATGTTAGGTGCATCGTTTATGTCACCATAGCTTTAGGATACAACAAATAAAAGCCGATGTACCAATAAACCAGAGCACCAGTAATAGAAACTCACCGTTTTGCCTCTCTATCACTCCACCCCCTCCCATTGCCCACACGGAAAACAAGTTTAAGTCCTATATTTTTCACATTATTGTACTAAAATAGTGACTACTGCCTCGCTATTTTTGTAAAGTCTATCAAGATCACAACAATTGTTATTTATGCTGACAATGGCAAGTTTCTGCCAAGTTCCCGGCCAAGAAAAGAACGGACATCATTTTTGCAAAGACCTAAATTGGACCTAGCTAGTGTCACGAAAAGGAAACCTCCGTGCCACAAGCGGCTAATTTTAGAGCCCCAGTTATGTTCTCTTATCGCGACCGGAGAGATTCGAACTCGCGATAATTTTCAAATGTCGGACACGTTTTCCCAGGAGGCCTTGCGAGCCTGACATGCCTGAAATCTCCGCCAACCCAAATAACTTTTACCAGCACTTCTATATTTGCCAATAGGACAATTTCTTGAAAAATAAGCATGATTTTACATGAAAACCAAGATTGCCGGCGTTAGATGCTATTGAGGACATAACTAGAACATATTCACCGTACCTACTGTACAGATGTGATGAAATTCCGAAGCTTCCCCTTATATCTACATATACACTGTATTAAACTGTAGATGTATTCAAGTCTAGCGTTACGAATAATATAGGTAAATAGCAAAACATTGGAAATGCTCTGCTATAGATCAATTTCTGTTTACAAGTGTTTAGAACAGTGGTGATGTACAAAATGGCAAAACGACGGGGCATAGGTTTGTCCCCATAACATCTGATACGCATCTGATGTAGCAAAACACAGAAGTAGCAAAACAACTCCAGGAAAATGCCAGATTTGATTGCAACATTTAAGAGATACAATACATAGTGATGCCGTACTCAAGCACATGCGTATATGAACGGCACCACTAAGCAATGAATAAATCAAGACATATGGCAAAAGAATGCAACGAGAAGGTCTACTGTACAGAAATACAAACACACGAATGGAGGAAAACAACGCAACAAAAATACACCTACCGAAACGCTTTAGGTAGTCGCAGAAAGTGAAAATTCTTGAGAAAAAGGGAAAGTTCTCACCATGCTTCTCCAAGTCCTGCCACCACCCAAGCGCTAGCCTACGCGGGTGGGAGAACGGGGCCCCATTCCTCCACCGAAGAACTTTCCTTCCGCCCGGCGCCCGGACCCCGCAACGCCGCCAGATCACGTGCCTCCCTCGCCCCGCCAATCAGAGAAACCCTCCGCAGCTTCGAATTTCGCCTCCACAACAGCCTTCGGCTTTTCTTAGTGCGCGTATAAGATGTCGCGGCGACTTTATAAGGAGAGAAATCCGCGGGTTCTCATAATAGAACCCGTCTGGCACTCGGGTTTTGGCGCAAGTCTCTAGAGGAGAGTTCGCTCTAGAAGCTACGCGGTGCTCCTGCGAATTTCTGACATTTCCCGGAGGCCCGGGACGCCGGGATTTCTATCTGCAAGCAAGTGTCGAGGACGGCGGAAACCTCCTATTTTCGGCTAGATAATATAGCGACCTGATCCAGTTGTAACTGGAAATAACTGATTGCAAATATTATGGAGGTCGTTTGCCGGATGTGTGGCTCAGTGGTTTGGTTGAATTTGAATAGGATTTTGCAAAGATGATGGTAATGCAAAATCGCGCCACACCACTATTAGGTTACCCTTGGATGATAGACGATTTTCTGGTATTCATCTATCATATCAGCCCAATGTTGCTGTTCTGTTAGGTGAGATTATCACTTATCCAAGCCCGCAGTGCCAAGTCACAAATATAGGACAGTATCTACTAGACTATATGACGTTAATGCTTGTAAGAGTGTAACCTCATTAGCTACACGGTGCGTTGTAGGCTTTGTTACCAGTAATGGCTCGTCGCATTCATCGGAGGTCATCCTATGATTTTGATGACGTAGAATTTTCAAGCAGCCTGTGACAAAACAAACTGCCGACAGGGATCTAAGACAAACTTTTTCGCCGCAGCGCGACAGCTTAATTTGTCAGGACACGACCATACCGATAATATTGTATTCACTTTGCGATCGTGCGACGTATGTGACTGCCCCCTGAAGACGGAAGCCCGATAAAACGTCTAGATATGTCTAAAAAACGTCCAAAACAAGCCCAACCTCTATGCTTGGAAAGTAACGTTAGCCGTCATCACACGATCTGTATATCATGTCATCAACTCCGTCATGTCAACAAAATAACGACTGTTTTAGAGTTAAAGAGTTTTAGAACATTCGATCCCCCGAATTTTAGAACATTCGAACACCACCCTCCACCCCCGAATTTTAGAACTTTCGATCCCCCGAATTTTAGAACATTCGAACACCACCCTCCACCCCGAATTTTAGAACATTCGAACCCTTCCGAGAGCTACATGCGGAGATCAAAAAGTTGTCCTGACCGCAGAAGGGTGAGCTAGCCTGGAGTCCAGCCTTGTTAGCATGTACATGGCGGGGTAGGCTAGGGGTGGGTGATAGGATAAAAATATCTCCGAGGCATAATGTCAACGTCGGTCGGCTGTTGAAACGTCGGATTTAGTCTTACATTCTTCTATTGGGAAACAGTTAGCGGTTGGTGCCATAACATGCCCGGATTAAACAAGTAATCTACAGATACAGCGGTGTCGAAAAATGATAATCTCTAAGCAGATATTTTGGTATCTGTAAGGCAGGGTCAAATTGTCAAGACAGTATCAAGGCGTTAAATGTACCATGCAGTACAATGTGACGGCGCCATTACCAAGTATTTCCGTTAGAGCTGCCCGCCATGTTGTGTACTGCACTGCGGAGTTTGCAGCTGCTTGGCGGGCTTGTAAAATGATAGAGCTGACAGACGAGGTCAGGGGAGTTAAAAGATGCAAGGATCATTTTCATCGTATTGTCGTAAAGCCATGTTGATTTGATTATATGGATGACATACTCCCAAGCTGATGCGCGCGTGCGAATAAAAAAAGTTTTGCAAAAAAAAGTTGCTTTCATTATGAAATCTACGTCGCCATGAAGGTTAAACAAATGACACAGAGTATGGTTTGGCGAATAATCTACTCTTCAAATTCATTTCTTTACATTTTCGTCTTTTTCGTTTTATTTTTGCATTCTACAACATTGGTTTTGTTTTCCAATATTTTTTGTGCAACGTACGGTATATATTTGCTAATTTTGCAACTGTTTTGTACGATTTACAGCACGGTTGAAAACTTTTTTTAATTCATGCGCGCGTGGATGTTATCCATAAAATCAAATCAACATGGCGTAACTGCTGATGCGCAGTTCGTATCATAGGACATAACATGATGTCACAAGCACGTCGGCAGAAAGTACTGCGCCTGCGCGAAACCAGTGACGTGTTGTGCATACTGATGTCACAGTGCTGTTGTGTATGTCATTTCTAGCAAGCAAAAACCGAACAACAAGGACACAATTATAAGACAAATGTGACATTTATTGCACCTTAGCACCCTCACTGTACACAGTACAGAAAATACTTTAATCTCTAAAATACTTTAATCTCCAAAATACTTAGCGCGACACCTGTTTTGGCTCAGCCAAAAGTCATGAAGACAGCCTGGATGACAGCCTGATAAAATCATGGAAGGGCTTAAATGATTTTCTATGATTAAAGATACTTTTTCATAGAAATATACTATCATCGTTTACAATTTTGGCTGGATGTCAGAAATAAATATACAATAAAAAAGTATATAACTTACATTGAACACAAATTAAAACAAAAAGATCTGTTCTGTCTTTCTGGCCGTAACTATACAAAGACGAGTTTATGTTTTATGTCTACCTTAACCCCACCTCCAAAGACAAAGACAGGTCTACGAACTAGACGAAGCTTTGTTTTTAAATCATTGCACCAACTTAGATCAGAGAGCAGTTTCAAACAAAATCATGGAAAGATTGATCACAATCTTCTATGAGCATAGATACTTTTTCATAGTAGAAATATACTATGAAATATACCCCAAGTACAGTAGGGGCATTGTCAATAGATAGCTTTAAACAATGTCTAGAGCTAGAAGTTCAAGGGTTAGGTGTAACAAGTCGATCGGTGTAATATAGCCAGCTGTCGCCGCACCGCGTGCCTGCGAAGCTGGTGTGTTACGCCGAAGGGCGGTTATACCGGCTATACAGATACAGAAGCTGGTGTGTTACGCCGAAGGGCGGTTATACCGGCTATACAGATACAGAAGCTGGTGTGTTACGCCGAAGGGCGGTTATACCGGCTATACAGATACTATCATCGTAAAATTTTTGGATGGCTCTCATAGTTATTTACAAAGAAGATCTCCACAAAAAATTAACTTACAGATCCCTATTGTAAACTAGTCTTTAAATTATTGCGCCGACTTAGATGTCAGACAGTAGTTTCAACTTCTATGAAGACTGGTTCGTCGTTAAAAGGAGGCACGGTTTTCAGGAGAGTTCTCTGCTCAGCTTCGTCAGTGTTTACTGCAGACTGCTGGGCCGTTCTGTCTGCTGTGGATCTGCAGAGGCCCATGTCCCCCATGATGCAGTGCGCGGCCAGCCGGACCAGGGCGGAGGCTACGATTGTTGAGCCGCAAAGGAGGAAGGACACGTTGTAGTTCCCGGTGATGTCGAACAACCAACCTGCAGCGAAAAAGTGTCGGGAAATTAGGTAAATTATTTAAAGAATCGAGGTGGTCATTTGGTTAGGGCCATTGACTCAGAATTCGAGAATTCTGGGTTTGAATCCCTGGCAGTGCCCCTTGAAAAAGGTACTTCACAGGTAAAAAAAAATGAGCACCTATAACTTCGGGTTGGGACGTCCTCTGGGATAGGACGTAAATCCTTTGTATTTCGAAGAGAGCTGTCAGGAATTTTGTGTACGAAATCGTACATCTCTCTCTCTCTCTCTCTCTCTCTATATATATATATATATAAACAACATTCTCATATATATATGTTATATATGAGAATGTTTGACAGGGGAGTTTGGCCGCCTTGGGGTTTGGGAGGTAAAGAAACAACCTTCCGCGGACTGACTCACCTGGCCGATATTACTCTTTTTTTTGTCGAATTCTACGATCCGTATTCCCGTAGAAAGGCCTGGTGGAGGCTGTCAATGCCACTTACCTACAGCGGGAGACCCGAGGAGCGACATCACTCCCTGGAACATCAGTAAGGTCCCGAGAGCCTGCGGCAGCTTCGCGATCCCCACAAAATCCGGAATCAGCGTCACGATAGTCGGCACGAAGAGCCCGGAAAACATCCCAAACAACACGCACAGCGCCAGCATTAACGTGTAGTTCGTCGCCAGCGGGAACACCAAACTCGTCAGACCTAACAGCGCCAAAGGTATGACGGCAAGCCAGAGTCTTTTCACGGGCGAGGGCCGGTAACTCATGAGTAGGCCGCTGGACAGTCTGCCGATGACGTCTGAGATGGCGTTGGCCGAGAGAAGGAACGCGGCGCTGTACTCCTCGATCCCGAGAAATCTCGCGCGCGGCACGATGAAGAAGATTAAGGTGGGGAACGAGAAGGTGAACAGCATCATGCTCCCGATGTGAACCAGGTAGGAGGGCACTCTGAACAGGGATTTGTCGATGATGTTGCAACAGCACAGTGTTCTGTTGGCCGCGTGTGTGATGACAGCTTCACTGGGATTTTCCTCGTCCTCTTCAAGAGCAGCAAAGGAACGTCTCAGTGGATTTTCTACTGGCACGTCTATTTCTTCATGAGCAACGGTGCATTTCGCTGAATTTTTCGGTCCATCTTCTTGAGCTGAGTTACGTAGTTTCACCAGTAACCTTCTTGGTTTCACTGAATGTTCTGGTCTCTTCCCATCTTCACGTACACTGTTATGCCGTTTGACGACGTCCGCCTTTACTGCATTTTGTGGCTCCAGTTCTTCATAAGCAAAGGTACGTTTCAGCGGATTTTCTGGCACGCCTAGTACTCCATGAGCACGGGTGCGTTTCGCTGAACTTTCGGGCCCGTCGACGTCTTCGACACGTAGTTTGAGGGCGTCCGCCTCTTCATGGACACAGGTGTGCTGTTTGACGGCGTCTGCCTTCAGGCGGATGGGACGGAAGAAGGATGAGAAGGCGCAGACGTGGAGCTCCAGCCCAGCCACGATGACGAAGGAGCCCCGCATCCCGTACTCGTCGATGAGAAGCTGGAAGGTCAGAGAACACATTATCAACTTGAAAGATTACATTTGCAAAAGCAAATGCATAATGTTTACTTTCGCATATGGTCTGCTCTGTTAATTCTTAAACACATCCATACATATGGTGACCAGTGTATCGTGGTTGCGGCAGGCTGTCTTCGGGGCTCTTATAGTGTCCCCCGTCCATCTCACAGGAGTTACGCCTGTAATACAATTTGGCACGCTGGTAGTTGATTTGCCCCACCACGGGCCTGGGGCTAATCAATTAGTCTCCACCAGACTCCTTTTGCAGGCTGAATAGATCGTAGAAATCGGCCTAAATGGGGATATCCGGATATAATTGGCCAACTGGACCCTCCATAGCCGGGAAACTCCTCTGGCCAATTATATCCCCATTTTAAGCCGATTTCTACCATCTATTCAGCCTGCAAAAGGAGTCTAGCGGAGACTACTAATCAATCTCCCATCGCGAAAAGCCTACCGGGGAACCTAGCTGAGTCGGGCGGGGAAGAGCTTCAGCAGCCCCGAAGAAAACCCGTCCCAACCGCGATAGATTGTATACCAGGTTACCTGGAAGAGTGGCGGCAGTGCGAAGGACCCCACGCAGGTCCCCATCAGCGCCAGGCTGTTGGCCAGCCCCCGCCGCCTGTCAAAGTAACGGCCCACGATAGAGGTGGAGGCCACGTGGGTTAGCGACGTCCCCACTCCTGGTAGGGTAAAATAATAAAACGGCACAGATTGAAACAGGCAGATTTTTCGGTAGCCAAAACAGTATCCAATTGGCAACACCAATGGGCCACCGAAGAATATTATTGAATCCAGAACCGTGCAAAGCTGCTATAAATTGCAACATTAGGTGACCCAACACCAGTTACCATGGTGACAGACATCTGGTTCAGGTCATTGACCTTATTTTAATTTTTGGAGAAGAAGAGGAGGAAGAAGAAACAGAGCAAAAACAATGTGTTTTCCTTCTGCGAAGGTAAACATAAAGAACAGTCTTCCGCACCTGCTACCAGTCCCAGGGTGACGTAGACGTGGTAGATGGTGGTGGCGAAGCTGCTGAGGAGGTACCCCGCGCACACGAACACTCCTCCTGTCATGGCGACAGGACGACTTCCGAATTTTCTCACCAGCGCCCCTGACACTGGACCTGGAGTCAGGAAACAACACAACAAGGAGCTATTGAACATACTGATGCTGAGGAGGTACCCCGCGCACTCAAACGCAGGACGGCTCCCGAACTTTCTCACCAGCGCCCCTGATACTGGACCTGGAATGAGGAAACAACACAACAAGGAACTAGTGAGTTCTATTGAACATACTTCTGCTCAGAGGATACTACGCGCACACGAACACTCCTCCTGTCATGGCGACCGGCCGGCTGCCGAATTTCCTCACCAGAGCACCGGACACTGGACCTGGAGTCAGGAAACAACACAACAAGGAGCTAATGAGTTCTTCTATTGAACATACTACTGCTGAGAAGACGAACGTCCTCACCATCGCCCCTGATACTGGACCTGGAGTCAGGAAACAACACAACAAGGAGCTAGTGAGCTATTTTATTGAACATACTGATGCTCAGAGGGTACTACGGGCACAAGAACACTCCTCCTGTCATGGCGACCGGCCGGCTGCCGAACTTCCTCACCAGAGCACCGGACACTGAACCTAAAGTCAGGAAACAAAAAGGGAGCCTGTAAATTCATTGCTTGACACAAATGTCTTCATCTTCATGTGCATGGGGCATGCATCAATCAATCTATCAATCAGGGGTTGCATCTATCAATCTTCCGCAGGCATCAAGACATGCATGCAGCTGCAGACATGCACAGGTCCCGCCAGGTTGTTCTGTTCCCGGCACAGGCCCGTCTGTCTGTTCTGGTGACCCCTCAGCTCCTGAAGTGAGTGGAAGACCACATTCTTTAACGCTGCAGCAGCGACACCTAGCTTCAACGCAAAGTAATAGACGGTCACAAAAACGTCAGCTTGTAAAACTCATTTGATGGTGAATAAAGAACGTTGTTATACATACATTACACGCTGTCAGATAAACGGCAAACAGTAATAATCCATGTTTAGTCTTCTTCAGTGTCCAAAATCCTTACAGTGTCAAGTTTTAACTTTAAACATGTAACTACCAACACAGATGAACTTTCATGATAGTTATAATCCATGTAACCCCCGGCAAAAAAGCACAACTCACCACACGCGAACGAGCATCCCATGAGCGTGGACACCACCCACGACGTCGTGCCGGCGTTCGTGTCGAATGTCTCCATCATGGGCACGAAGAACACACCTGGATGAATGAATGAATGGTTTATTCATCAAAACACCGTAGTAGCCATAGGCTGAATTGCTTGTTTCAATACACATAATAGATTAAAAAGTACACTGAAAAGTACATATATAAACGCAATTAAAAGTACGTGATTCTTTAACCCTACAGGCCAGTCGGGTCTGTACAAATCTCAACGTTCTGTGACTATGCATTCTGTCTTTCTATCATTTGGGAAAGAGTACCGGAGTTAAACGCACACCACTACCAGCGGACCAGCCCCCTGCTGTAGTGATTGCACAATGCATTGTGTGGCCCAAAATGGAGAAATGGAGATGGGCGCCGCCCTATGCGACCATGCTAATGGTTGCGGGAGGTCTTTAACTAACCTAGCGACCGCACGGTGCCGTACATGAATCCCAGATTGCACAGCGCGGCGAAGACCACCACCCACCCCCAGCCGCCGTCCGGGGCGCGCTCATACTCCAGGCCGGTCTTCCTGGTACACTCTCTCATCCGGTCTTTCAACTTCTCCAACAACGGCTCCCTGGAACAAATGATAGAGATGTAAATGAATGAGAAACATCACCCTTCACTTAACCGCGACGGGGGCCGGCATCGTCTACCAGATACCTTTGACCCGTGTTGACCTCATAACGTTGGATCAAAAGTTTTCACTTTAAACCTGTACCAACACAGATGAACTTTCGCGATAAGACCTTTATTCGTCGATGAAGGTTAGACATCTACAGTCTCCTTAGCAGGCTCTACCACTGGGCTTTTTGGGGAGCCTTTATAAAAAAAAACTTTGCATAGATAACCCTAACCCATATGAGGCACAGTAATAGAGCCTGTTAAGAAGGCTAAGAGTTATACTCATAGACAATTCAAACTCTACTACTGCATAAAAATAGGGAAATTCCTTCCGTGCGTTTTGAGTGACATCCATCACTCTTCTTCAACGTCACCAAATGAACTGACAGAACACTTACAGTCAACATTTATATATGAGGAACTGGAAAAAAACTTTGGAATATGACAAAGACTCGTAAGTGTCACTTAAGGATCTTTATTTACATACACAGTGGACTATTAAAAGTGTAAAGTACAGCTTACAACAAAGCTTTTGTACACAGTTTTTTTTATTGAGCAACACAGAAACTTACAGAACATAGCGATACAGGTTGCTAATCTTAGCCCCACCACTGACAAAGAAGAGGACATAAAACAATGGTGCAATGGTGAATAATAATAACAAAACAGCAAATGGGCAATACAAAAGTACAAAGTTAATAAATACAAGGTTCTTTCGCTAACATTGAATAGGCTCAACTTCTCACTTTTTTATTAGTTATGGTAGAAATAAAGGATTTGTTTCTGAACGCAAATCCTTGGCGGACAGAAAGTGCGAAATGGAACGAAATGGAACGAAATATGTATGAAGGAAAGACGTTTTATTTCGTTTCATTTCATTTCATTTCGTTCCATTTCGCACTTTCTGTACACCGAGCAACTCTCTCAGCACCGAAGAGATACCGCGTACAGCCTACTGTCAAAAGAGCAGACACTCCTTCCCATCCCTGCCACTCAGGCGTTTCTGTCCTAAGGTTTGAAAATGGCCACGACGTTCTGCAGTCCGTAAGTCACGACCATCTGTCCGCCCGGCCCGAGGGCCACGCCCGAGGGCTTCCAGCGCCCCGAGGCGGCGGCGTACCGGACATGCCGCCCCCGGCCCGTCACCACCTCCACCCGCCGGCTCCCCGAGTCCGCCACGGCGATGTTCCCGTGCCCGTCCACGCACAGGCCCGCCGGGTGGTGGAAGCGCCCTCGGCCTCCGAACCTGCCCAGGAACCATCCCGACTGGTCGTACTAGGGTGACAAGTGGTTTTATTTTAATTCAATTGCAACAAGGCAGTACATTGGCCACCCAGGCAGCATGGCTGATTTCGGGTGCCGAAAGTTACACAAATTGAACATACTCAATATAACATACTGATAAGCTACCAAGTATCACATTAAGCTAAGATCAATCAATTAACAACATAAAATTTCAACAGACTTAAGTACAGAGCATGCCAAAAGTATTAGACAAGGGATTAACGGTATGAATGGGTAACAAAGATCCCAAACATTACGGGAATTCAGCAGTATGAATAAGGTTGGTTGCACAGTATTGACATAGACCATGGAGGGGGTCTTTTTTCTACCTCCATGCATAGACTAGAGATTACTTCGTTTGTAGCGTCGCACAGCCTGATCTGCAGCGGAACCAGAGACGTCCGCTCACAAGGCCCCGAGCTGGGCGAATGTGAGCGGGGAGCCGGCTAGCCCGGGTCCACGTGGTTCCCGGCGCCAGGCCACAGAAGTTGGGGCGGAGTTGGCGAGTTCGCCCGGTAGTGCTAATTAACAAAAATGACTGCCAGACATTTTTCCACCATTACAAATAACCTCATTTGCATGTTCGTGACATTTAAATGGTACCCTTACCATGTAGACATAGTTGGTGTCGTAGTCTGACACTACGATATTCCCCTCCGCATCCGTAGCGACGAACCAGGGGTGCTGCATACCTTCCCGCCGCCCGAACCTGCCAGGAGGAATCGCGGACAAAAATTTAAAAATTTGGAAAATTTGAAAATTAAAAAATTCAAAATT